ATCTTAGAGATGTTCTGCAGAAAAAATATGTAAGATTTAGGCAAAGCCTGGGTGTGAGGATCTGCTGAGAAGTCTGAGTTGAAGATGATGCCTAGATTACAGGCCTGTGGTGGTGTTCACAGTGGTTGAGAAAGGAGTTGGGGAAGAGCTTGGGAGGAAAGTTTAAGAGCTCTGTTTTAGCCATGTTGAGTTGACAGCTAGATCCATGAGGAGATGTCAAAGAGTTTGGCTGAGATCCAGTTTGGATGGAAAGACAGGTCTGGAGTAGAGAGGCAGATCTTTGAGTCAACAGGTGATGCTTGCAGATGAGATTACCCATAGGTAAGGTTTAGAAGGAGAAGAAAAGGGGACCAAGGCTAGAACCCTGTGAACCCGCACAGAAAGTTGGAGGGCAGATGAGAAAGATCCTCCAAAGGGACCTGCTGAAGAAGGGATTAGAGAGGTCAGAGGAGAACAAGGAGAGAACAGAGCCATGGAAGTCAAAGGAGCACAACATTTCAAAAAGAACATGGTTAATGGTGTTAAAGGCACCTGACAGGGCAAAGTACTGGTTGTGAACTTTGACTAGGAAGAGGCCTTTGGAGACTTTGACAAGAGCAGTTTCAGTTGAGTGCAATGGGTGAAATCATGATTGGAGTGGGGTTTAGGATGGAATTGGAGGAGAGGAACTCCAGACAGCAATGGTAGATATTGAAGGTAATATATATATGAATGACTGATGCATTTCAAAGCACCCATTTAAAATGTTCATTCAGTTGGGTTCTTTAAAGAAACTAATAATGCATTAGGAAAACTTACTGATGTTTTACAGTCCTCTTAGATATCCCGGGAAGGGAGCTGTAGAAAATGTATAATAGCTGAGGATCTGGCCCAACACACAATGTCTGTATTACAGCCATTGGTTTCCTAGCTTGTTAAGCAGGAATGAGAACCATTTGGGATATGTTTACTCTACACGCCACTGGTGGCGGTGTGTAAGGTATATGTCTACATGCCACAGTGAAAAGCAGGCTGCATTCACACTTTGGAGTGCAGCTACATGTGTTAGTGAAAGGCTCTGGCAGAGGGCTGGCAACCTGGAAAGGCTTCAGCAGCTCCATGCCAGAGCCTTTCTCTGCTGCCGGGAAAGGCTCCAGCAATGGGGAGCTGGCAGAGCCTTTTCCGTCTGTCTCCCCCATTCCAAAACTTTTCCCCACGGGAGAGTCTTTTCCTGCAGAGGGGAAAGGCTCCAGCACCGGGAGGCAGTAGGACAACACACTGCTAAAAATAGCAGGGTAGACAGGGAAGCGCACCTTGGGGTGAATAGAGTGTGTGAACGGTGTTTACTCACCTATATACCCACACCCTTCAGGTGTGTCTTTACTCTACTTGCCTAGCCGTGCCCCATCGGTTACGTTGCTATTTATACCTGGGCTAGGGGGCAGGTATGTACTTCACATGCCTCCGAAACAAGCATGCAGTGTAGGTGTACCATCAAACTGTCTCTTGAATGTAAATTACCACCCAGATATCTCTCATGAGAAATAAGGGGTCCCATGAGAATTGGCGGAATGTGCCTTGAAACAAGGAGGGGGCAACTATACAGTAAAAAGAAACAACTTTTGTTAAAAAGGCAACTTTCTCCTGTTCCCTTGTTCCTGTGCTCTGTGTTCATATAGAAACTCCTCTTAACATCCATCACAAGCAGGCTAGGCCCTACCTTAGCAAGTGAACAGTAAAAATGGCCAGAGAAAATTAAATTTACAACCAGTTTCTAGTTTTTAATCTCCTTTCAGAGGAAAAATACCAAGCTCCCCCATCCCACACACAATGTCAGAGAAAATGGGTTTGTATGTGGTAGCTATGAAGAATTTGGAAAGTATTCAATTCTCCAGCCTGGAGGAGCTCTTTTAATGCTGTTTCACCATTCCTTGGGCTGGAATCCATTGTGGAAAAGGACTGGAAAAGTTAATAGGAATGAAACTGAGAGGACACAAACCAAGAGGATTCTAGAGAAATTACTCTCTAACTCTGTAGACTTTAATAGAGAATATAGGATTGGGGGGGGAGCTGTCCAATAGAATTCTATAGCAGGTACAAAATTCACTATTAAATTCAATAGCTTTTGATGGTCCAACATATCTATAGAAAAGTTATTTTCTATGAAATTCTATAGGACTTCTGGGTAAAGGATGGGAACTCCAAACCCTGAACACTCTCAATACATGGCTTTAGCCATTGCTTTCAAGTTAATATGCTCCCACCCCCACCCCCACCCCCATGCTCCTGGCCTGCCCTCAAACTCTTCTGCACTAGCCTATACACAAAACTCTCCATTTTTGGTTTTTACCCAATTTCAAAAAAAAATCCCAGGTTTTGAAAAAACAGCCAGCTTTTACCCACTTTTTTAATCCAAATTTTGAAAATGCTTGCACTCTCCAGACCTGGTCCCCCCTCAGGTAACTTCCATTGGGCGGCAGCTGCTGCTGCTGCACAGTGGTGGAGCAGGATGGGCAAGGAGTTGGGTTCTGGCAGCAGAGACCACCTGACCACTGCAGTGACAAGCCTGCAAAGAACGGAAGGCCCACACTACCCCAACTCCGCCATCACCTTCTGTGCATATCAGGTAGCCCTCATCGCTCTGGCCGCTGGCCCTTCATTTTGGTTTTTACTGATTTCCCCCCCCCCATCTTTTCATTTTTTATATAAGTACAGATAATTCCCAGGAAACTTTAAACAAAATACAAACCAAAAACAAAGGCCATCTGTACCATACACGGGTGTGTGCTTGTTCTGCATCAGCCTAATTCTTATGAAGTTCAAGATCCACATTGTGTTATACTGAAGTGCCTTCTACAACTGTTAAATTGCAGGTGAATTTCATCCCATTTGAGAAATAATTTGAACACTTATAAAATGATTGAGGGACTATTAGATTTTTTTCCTGGTTATATAATACATATATCAAATGCCAAATAGTCAGGACTATAAACATTACAATTGCCCCAAAGATCTTTTATAATAAAGTCAAAGTATTGGGGATTTAAGTGGATTACACTGTAGTTTAAATTCGGGGAACAAGATCAATTTGTGCCTTCAATCCAGGGCCAAGGGGAGGGGCACACCCTGTTTATAAAGGCTCCCTGGGCTTTCACCCATGCCTAAGGCCGGCCCTGTGTGGGGGGTAGGTAAGTATTATCTTCCCTATTTTACAGATGTGCACAGAAAGTTAGGGCCTAAATATTCATACGTGTGTACATAGCAAAATCCATATTGAGGCATCTCTTACTTTCAGAGATGCTGAGCTGGATTTAGGTGCCTAAGGGCTTGCCTTCATTATGGGGGAAAGTTGCCCTAAGTTACACAACTCCAGCTGTGTGAATAATGTAGCTGGAGTCGACGTAGCTTAGGTCGACTTACTGCGGTGTCTTCACTGCGCTGCATCAATTGGAGATGCTCTCCAGTCTTCTTCCCTTACTCTTCTCGGGGAGCTGGAGTACCGGAGTCGACCGGAGAGCGCCCTGCCATTGATTTAGCAGGTCTTCACTAGACCCGCTAAATGGATCCCTGCTGCATTCATTGATCACCCTGTAGTGAAGACCAGCCCTAACTGAAGGAAGTGTGAAGCTGGGATTAATCTCCGGATCTTAATCACTGGCTTCTCCTGAAGACACGAGCAAGGGAAACTCTTTCTGGTTCCAACCCAACTCTGCTATTCCAGCGAAGCTCTTTCTCTATATCTTTTTTCAAAGAACATAGAATTAGCTTTTCTAACCTTTTTGATTACCTGAGAGCTTTGAGTGCCCGAGTTATTGTTATCCTTTGTAGTACAACACCTTTGCCACCACTACTGTTTTTTCCCTTATAATATGTTGTCCAAACCTGTGCACAGCAAGTACTCCAAATTTAGCCTCATCTATTTATTTATTTATATAATTCTGGAGGAATTTGTTAATGATGCATAATGGATGTGCAATTTTTGTGCTATTACCAACTGATGCCACACTCAGAGCTGTAGTAGTCTGAAATTGTTCAGATATTCTGAGGAAAAAATATTGACTTTCTAGAGGCATAGTATTTTGTCTAGGGCTTTTAGACAGTTATCACTCCAGTACAGAAGGCAAAACTTTTTTTTGACATAGACCCAGAAACAGACACAGGCACCATAATATAGTCAAATGTGGAGGCTCTGTTTTATGCCAGAGTCTCAATCTTCCCTCTTCCATGCTTGAGGTGAGAGATGAAATGAGGAGAGCCACAAGCTGTCCTAGACATAGAGGCAAATGCCCACCTTGCCATATTTTGATGGTTCAAAAAATCTACAGAAAAATTTCCATTTGCTATGAAATTCTATAGGACTTTTCTGTAAATGGTGGGGATTGCAAACCCTGCACACACTGTCAGCAGATGGCTATGGCCCCTGCATTCAAGTTACTGTACACCCAGCCACTGCACTCCTGGCCTGCCCTCAAACTCCCTTCTTTGCTGGCTTATACAGACCAATGCCTAAGCCGCCGACTGGATCATAGGGACCTCAGTCAGACCCTACCTAATCCACCGGCCACACTGGAACCTGCTGCACTTGCAAGAATTGTAACTTAAACACCAAAAACCAGATGTGGTGGGTTGGATGGCATGTGATCTTCCCACACCCTACAGCGTAGGAAGCGATGGGGGTGGGAGGTGGGGGGAAGAGGTGAGATTAGAAGCAGTTCCCACACACTGACGGCAAAAATGGGTGGAAGGAAGGAACAGGAGGCATGTAGAATGCTGTCACAACTGCCCCCAGTTGAGCTCTCTTGCCTCGCTCCCTCCCATCCTTCCCCACCCCAAAGGGTGTATCCAGTGCTCCCAGCCCTATCAAAGCCCTTCCCCAGTGAGCAGGGTAAGCATTTAGTGACCCAGAGACAATGCTACAAACTAATCTAACTGCCACTAAAACTGTACATTTTCAGCTGGTCACTTATTCTCACTTTGTTGCTTCAGTTTGCCTGGTTCTCAGTTATTCATATCTTTTATAGGAGACTTTTGGATACTGAAGATGAACTCTCTGACATCCAATCTGATTCAGTCCCACTGGAAGTACGGGACTGGCTGGCGTCTACCTTCACGAGGAAAATGGGGATGACGAAAAGGAGACCTGAAGAAAAGCCAAAATTTCGAAGCATTGTACATGCTGTACAGGCTGGGATATTTGTAGAAAGGTGATTGTGGATTTTAGTGTGATAGCAGATAACATGTTTAACCACAATGGTGCTATCTGAGCCAAATGCTAGGCAACAAGTGGCACCAGGATGCGTACCAAAATTGGAGATGAGCCTGAACCAAATATTTGGGAAAGTTCAGATCTACATCTGAATGCCATCCTCACCTCATCTCTCTAATGGTCTGTACTGAGATCTAAATGAAATCCCTAGATACCAATCCTCTTGAACTTTGGAAAGTTCTGGACCCAAACTCCATGGTTTAGACCCATATACACCAAAATATGCCAAAGACTCAACATTTACTTTTTTATTTATAATTTTGTATAATTTTTTTCAAATACAACAAATATACCAAAATACCAGATTGATCAGAATACACAAAGTAAATAAAGAGGGTTAGGATAAAGGGAGGGGAGGGGACTGGACGGGAAGTGGCATAACTATCTTCAGGGTCTACATTAATCATAGACCTCTAAAAAGTCAGCCCAAATTGCTTTGAATTTTTTGGGCTTTCCCTTTCTGCGAAATGCCAGTTCATTCACTGCGATGTCAGCCATATCCCTGAGCCAGGTATCAATATTTGGTGGGGATCGACTTTTCCATTTTTGCAGGATTAATTTTTTCGCAGCCAAAGCTGCACACTGGAACCACGCTGCCTTGTTACCAGGTAATTTCCAGGTATCAAGAATATATCCAAGAGTGAAACTTCAGTGAAACTCCAACTTAGCATCCAATATGAAATTGGTCCTTTGACACACACCCCTTTATCAGAAATTCTTGATACAGGAGGACTGCCAAAACATATGAGCTAAAGTAGCACAAAGGGAGTTACATTACCAACAGCATTTATGAGGACCATTACCTATGTGTGGACGAGAATATTTGCAAAAGTGTCTTTTGGTGAATCAACCATAGTCCCAGATCTAAAGTTGCTTTTTTACATTAGATAAATTGTATTCCAATGGGTCAGAGATAGTTGTGTATCCAAATCTCTATTCCAAACAACTCAAATGATCAATCTTTGGCAACTTCACATTTACTTAAGTAATAACACAATTAACTTAGTTATATTTGATACTCGTGGTTTCATACTGAAATTAATTGAGCAGCACTGTCTTACACCAGCTGAGGATCTGTGCCTGAATATTTTAATACCTGAAACCCACATGTAGGCCATCCTTTTGTTAGGAGATAAAGCAGGTGAATCTGTGGTAATGGCACTGATGACAATACTAAACTAAAATAGCATATTTTCCTTATTCACATTAGATGATATGAATAGCTACAACAATTACTTAGAGGAGCAAGAAGTATTCCTAGCAATGTATTATTAGACCAAAAAGTCACACTTTGTAGTACACAGGATCCTCCTTCAAAGCCCATGAAGTTCATAGAAAGACTCCCACTGAGTTGAATGGATTTTGAATTAGGCCCTTAATTCAGAAATTATAAAAGAGAACTGAAAAAAGAAATGTTTTAAAAGTTAGCATAAGTACCACCTAATAAATAATGCATTTGTTCTTTTAGGATGTACCGAAGGACCTCTAACCTGGTTGGTTTGGCATACCCAGCAGAAGTGATAGTAACATTTAAGGTGAAATCAATTCAGTCATTGTGTAATTTCAATATATTTGTATGTGTGCTAATGATTTTTTTTTAGGATGAAATTAGGGTGCTTTTTCTGAAAGTATTATGACCATATATGGTACTGTAGAAATGAATATGCATAAGAGATAAAAGCCATATTGAAAAATTCACAAATAGCATAGGATTATATTTATTACATCTCAATTTCATTATGATTTCAGTTAGATATCATTAGAACAATAGGACAAATTTGAGTAGAAAATTGCTTTATAAAATTTACCTGTCATGATTTTATCATCTCCAAATTATAATAGAAATCAGTGTCTCAGAAAGCAGCGTCTCTTTCCTTTTTTGGGATTGGGGGGAAGAGTAACCATGTTGTATCTAGCTACAATATACAGTCGACAATGGTATTTCTTAAGCAAGAAGGTAGAATGTAATCTGTTTCCTTAAAAGACAAATGTTATAGTGTTTACCATGATTTTTTAAAAGTATTTATGACATAGTCTCTGCAAAAGAGCACACAAGTAGTTCCATTGAACTCTGTATGGAACAATTTATGTGTATAAAGTTATTCGTGTGTTTGAAGGATCAGGGCCTTAGATTGTGAACATACAAAACAACTAGCAGTTTATCCCACAATTATATAACTCAGGATACAAGAATTTTTTTCTAATAATTTTCCTATCTAGGTTTGTTATTAGTATTAGAATAACCATTAGTATGAGTAACATGAAATAAAAGGAACCTGTGATTTTGGGGAAATAGATATTGTTTTAAACTTTTCAATTTATTAACTGGGACTTATTTAAACATATGAATGTGTTATTTCTTTTTAATCTGCAGGATGTTGATAAATGGTCATTTGATGTGTTTGCCCTAAATGAAGCAAGTGGAGAACACAGTCTGAAATTCATGATGTACGAGCTGTTCACCAGATATGATCTTATGAGCCGTTTCAAGGTCAGAAGCATCACACAAGACTCAAATATAAAAATAAGACATACATATTTAAAATATTAAAAAATAGGGTTATGTTTAAAAGTATATTTTATTGAACAAATGAAGTACAGAATTGCAAAGTTTAAAAGACATCAGACTATAGTCATTGTAATAACAATAAAGTTCCATCTAATAGTGTCTACAGTCATTCTGCTGCTGTTGAGATCCTGACAAAGACTGAAAGCTTAACAGGTCTTCAGCTTTTGGATGAGAAGTCCCCAGTGCACAGCAGAGTGATGCAAAAAGTGCACAAGTAGCTTGCTTCCTTATGACTTAGTACCGAGCCCATGTCCCAGACTTGGGAAGGAGACACTGTGCTGGTAGACACATAAAGTGTGGTCCTGAGCATTTGAGATAGCTTAGATCACAATCTGTGGACCTAAATCATCACTGGGCTTTCAGCTGAGTACTATATTTTTCACTTCCTCTTCCTGTTCTAAATTGTTTTAATGGCATAGTGTTAAACACCTGCCACATGCCACCCTAGAGGAGGCTACATTACAGTGCTGTCTGAGGGATATTGTATGACTTAACTATTTCATATTTGTAAAGCACTTTGAGATGCTCACCTAAAGTGTGGTATCAAAGTGCACAATACTTTATTATTTATCATTATTATGATATTGAACTAAAGTTTCACTGTCATTGTGGAAACCCAGTTTATCACACAAAATCTCTAGGAATCTTGTTTTAGGAATCTTGTTTACGTTTACGTTTTATTTATTACACCATTGACTTTGTAGCTGTTGCAAGAGAAACATAGCTTATTATTCTAATGTTTGCTTCTCACAGATCCCTGTGCCCAGTCTTATTTCATTTGCAGAAGCTTTGGAGGTTGGTTACAGCAAGTACAAAAATCCATACCACAATCTGATCCATGCAGCTGATGTTACTCAAACTGTGCATTACATAATGCTTCATACTGGTATCATGGTAAGAAGTACTACAGAACTCAGCCACTTTAGTTTCTCAAACTCACCATTATATAGGTATCTACGTGGGTATCTAGATGCAGGCTTACTGGTGCTACAGATGTCAATCATTTTAAAGGGGGCTTTATCGAGAGATGGGCCCAAACTCGGGAACTGGCTCTGAACCTCATGTCTCTATAGAGCGTGCATGAAAATCACCGCTATAATCACAACCAAAATTGGGGACTCACAGTGTAAATGAGAGCTTTGTCAAATTTCTGATACCTGGATTTGGCATGTGATCCATTCTGAAGACAGATTTGAGATGCATACTGTGACACAAATCTCAATCAGGATCTGGGGTTCTGGTGTGGGGCCATTTCTAGCTGGGGGGATTCTCTCCCCAGGGAGCAATAGTGTAGTTTAGAAGCACATATTGAACATGTGGATTAGGAAACCTATTCATTTTCCTTTCTTCTTAGAACTCAGCGAAGTGAGCTAAAATGGGCTATAATATGCAGATGATTCTCCCTACGTAAGCAAAAAGGGTTTAGAGAGAGTCTTCTCTTAATTTGCCCTGGGCTTGAGCATCCCTGGAAGTGATGAGAATGTCCGAGTGACCTGGAAGGGTATTCATCCACAAGAATTGGCAAGTGTTGTTTCCATTACCAGCCCCTTGCCCTGGAGGTTTTGCAGCTTTAATCTCTGCTGAGGCTCCGCGGGTAAGGGACTGCACTGAACCAGCGCATCCCTTGTTACCCGCACAAAATTCTCTGTTACTCACACAGTCTAGGGGCACCCACCTTTACCCGGTTCCTAGGGTTCCAGGCCTAACCCTCTTAATTTAGGCACCCACCCTTACCCTGTTCCTAGGGCTCAGGTTACGTAACCTTACAATATAGGGCACCCACTCTTATCCTGTTCCTAGGGCTCGGGCATAACCCTGTCAATTTAAGTACCCACCCTTACCCAATTCCTAGGGCTCAGGGTGTAATTTTGTGCGGGTTTTCAGGACCTTTTACTAGTGAAAGAGCCTTACGCAGTAATATCCTTATCCTCTATTTATTAACAATCACCAAAAACAGAATGCCCACTCTACACATACAATGCTCACCTCTCCCAATCCCAGTAAAACAGATGAACTTTTCTTGATGGCCAGTCAGGATCAGGTCCATCTGGGGGACTCCAGTTTCTGCATGGTGTCCTTGGCAGAAGTCTGGCAGCTCTGATAGGGCTGTGTTCTGGAGTTGGTTCCCAAAGAACTTTCTTTTGGACCCCAGTTTATATAGTGAAACTTGAGTCCTTCTTAGATATACCTTAACCAATCATTATACTAAAATTTTACTAACCAGTCCTAACATATTGTAACAAAATTCTCTAACCAATCCTACCCTACCACCTTAATTGATTTTCAGCTAGCAAAATTAATTATGTAACAGATAGAAACAATCAAAGAACCAGACAGAGATCATACAGACAAACAATAGAGAAGTGGAGACCATAAAGACAAAACAATAAAGAAATGGGGATTTCACAACCACAACTATTGATAATTGGTTTCTTGCCAGACAGAATGCTATCAACCTAAGTTTTCCTTAACCAGCTTAAGATCTGTTTCTTTATCTGGTGATGGTGGGTATTATTAGGATGAGGTGTCATTCTTAACAGCCTGATATTATGTTTTAATGTAATTTAGATGGAATGTGAGGATGTGACTTCCTGCTTCTCAGCTAATGGTTGCTGCTCTCCTAATATGACAGGTTTTAGAGTAGCAGCCGTGTTAGTCTGTATTCTCAAAAAGAAAAGGAGTACTTGTGGCACCTTAGAGACTAACCAATTTATCTGAGCATTTATTTGCTGGAAATGGCCCACCTTGATTATCATACACACTGTAAGGAGAGTGATCACTTTAGATAAGCTATTACCAGCAGGAGAGAGGGGTGGGGGGAGAGAAAACCTTTTGAAGTGATAAACACCCATTTTTTCATGGTCTGTGTGTATAAAAACATCCTCACTGCATTTTCCACTTTTATGCATCCGATGAAGTGAGCTGTAGCTCACGAAAGCTTATGCTCAAATAAATTGGTTAGTCTCTAAGGTGCCACAAGTACTTCTTTTCTTTCTCCTAATATGGCTGCAGTCAAAGGACTTAGGCTTTAGGCCTTACAATGTGGCTACAGGAAAAGGCCTTATCCTTACACTCTTGAACACCCCAACCTCACTTGGTCCTCATAGAGCCTGTGGCAGCCAAGAGATTGCTATCGCTTTGCACCACTACAATGTCCCAATGCTTCTGTTTGTTTTCTTGGCTTTGGCAGCTGAAGCAAGTTCATACACTCATCCTAACTTGCAATGTTTATACTATTGCCCTTTGACATTGCTTCAGTAAGGAATCTCCACACTACAAATTTGGTTAGTTAGACACTTGTTAGTCCTGACTCAGAATTAAAATGGACACATTTCATCTCTGTCAATTACCTTTCGGGACACTGTTTAGTCCTGAGTGTGAACTCTGTGTTTTAAAAGACAGAGAATGAGGAAGGAAATGGTAATAATATATTGTAAGACTTCTATCTGTTAAGTCAGTAGAGTACAAAACCCTTGTGAAAATAGCAAGTTTAGAGTTGGCTTTATGGGTTTTCAAGTTATGCCCTGATATACACCTTGTACACACAGTTTACATCACTGGGATTACATGTAATATAGGTGTCTGATATTTTCTTATTGATTGTCAGTGGGAAAAGGATCAAGCCCAATGACAATGGAGAATTTGGCCTTAGCATTCTAGGCAATTTTGATTTCCTTTCCAGAAAAGTATCTAAAGTATCAGGCATTTATTTCAATATTGTAAATTTTAATGTAGTGTTCCTTACAAAGTGAGGGTCAAATTCTGCAGTCTTTTCTCAGGCACAATTGCCACTGGTGTCACTGGGAGCAATGACTTCAAATCTCCCCCTGAGTGATTAGTTAATATGTGCCTGTAAAGAGCCTAGCAAACTATTGCCACTGTATAAATATGAAGACTAGAAGAAGAAAACCCTAATACTAGAAATCTGACTCCAGCCTACAGAGTTAAATGACACCAGAGTGTATCTCTGAACACTGGATGGAGGAATACATTGCACATTAGAATCCTTGCTACTATTTGCATATCAGTTCCCAGAATGCTCCCCCAGCTTATAAGTATGGTACTGCAAATGCACTTGGGTGTATTGAGTTCTGTCCCACACTCCTAGGCTTTATAGCTATTCCTGGTCCTGTGTAACATCATAATAATTTGCACTGCCTATACAAGTGGTTCTTAATAAAATAAGGCCTGTTTTAGATAGCCACAGTTAAAAATATTTATTATAATGGTTCCTGGATAACTTTGTCACTGTTAATGGGACAGCAGCAAGCCAAAGGTCTTTTCAAAGTGATGCAGCATACCAGGCAAAATAATAGTTTCTGAGTGTCAGTGCTTGAAAAAGGCCCTATTGATGCTATTGCCCTGCAACGTATTAACATCATTTAATAAGAGGCTGAGTTAGGAGATGGTCCCATGGTTAGGACACTAGCCTGGGACTCAGCATACCCACCTTCTACGTCCTGGTTCCACTATACCAGGGGTGGGCAAACTACAGCCCGGGGGCTGCATCCGGCCCTCCAGGTGTTTTAATCCAGCCCTTGAGCTCCCACCAGGGAGCGGGGTCCTGGGCTTGCCCCACTCCGTGTGGCTCTTGGAAGCAGCAGCATGTTCTCCCTCTGGCTCCTATGTGTAGGGGCAGCCAGGGGGCTCCACACACTGCCCATGCCCCAAGCACCGCCCCTGCAGCTCCCATTGGCTAGGAACTGCAGCCAATGGGAGCTGCAGGAGGGGTGCTTATGGAAAGGGCAGCATGCAGACCCGCCTGGCTGTGCCTCCGCTTAGGAGCCAGAGCGGGGACATGCCGCTGCTTCTGGGAGCTATTTGAGGTAAGCACCACCTGGAGCCTGCACCCCGACCCCCTCCCATGCCCCAACCTCCTGCCCCAGCCCTGATCCCCCTGCCACCCTCAGAACCCCACAGTCCCAGCCCATAGCACCCTCCTGCACCCCCAACCCCTCATCCCCAGAGCCCACATCCCAAGCCAGAGCCCTCATTCCCCCCATACCCCAACCTCCTGCCCTAGCCTGGAGCCCCGTCCCGCACTCTGAACTCCTCATTTCTGGCCCCACCCCAGAGCCCACACCCCCAGCCAGAGCCTGCACCCTCTCCCACACCCCAACCACCAATTTCGTGAGCATTCATGGCCCACCATACAATTTCCATACCCAGATGTGGCCCTTGGGCCAAAAAGTTTGCCCAGCTCTGCACTGTACACTTCCTGTCAGCCCTTACACCAGTCACTTTGTCCTTCCCCCTCTGTTAAATGGGGAGAGTAGTACTTCCCTTCCTCATAGGGGTGTCTGGAGGATAAATACATTTACAAGAATGTTTGGTGATGGGGGCCATATAAGTACTTTGCATAGCTAGATAGTGCCACCCTCCCTTTGGGGAGCTTGACAGTACAATGCACAAATGTTATATTTGTCTTCTTGGCTTCTGTCACTTAATTAACTTGCAGCCTTATTTACCCAGTGAGAGTGACATACAGTACTGCTCACAAGCTAATTGTTTTCACAGCAGGCATCCCTTCTAATGCCTTTATCTGCACTGCCACTCTCCTCTCTGACATGTGCCTGTGATATTTCACCCACCTTTGATGTAGTTATATAATGGGTGCCCACAGGAGTGGATTTATCAGTTCAGGCATGTCATTTGTAGTCTTTCTGTGTTTTCTCTGTAGCTTGTAGAACTGATATAGAGAACTGCAAAGTGCTGATCCTGTTCTTTCCCCCTGCACTTCTCTGGGCCATTGATTAAAGCAAAGATAAAATAAAGCTAGGTTTTAGAAACCCCTCAACCTCTAACCTTTTACAGAAAGCATACATTTTAGTATCCTTAGTTTTACAGTCCTCCAGAGAATTGCTATGTTTTCCCGTTTTCCAAAAAAGCCTAGATAGTCAGAATTATCTTTTCCCAACTGTAGTATTTATTAAATGCAAAAAACAAAAACAAACAAAAAAACCCACCATACATTATTGGACCACTAGGGTTATGAAAGTCAAGAAATAAAAAAAATCATATTAACATTAATTTACCCAGAGTAAACACACAATGGAATCTGTTATCCAAAACTTTCAGGTAATCAGAGAAGCTGCCCTTTCTGCTGCTATCTTAGTCCAATCCTTGGACTCATACTGAAGATCTTGGTCTGGGATAATTCTAGTATCCGAAATCTGAGTCAAATAACAGATAAAATCTTTCCCTGACCCTAATGTGGCTTAAATAGCTGAATACCCATCTGAAGAAGTCAGAGCTAACAAGGACCAGGTATCTCATCCAGCCAGGTGTCTATTAGACATACAAAGTCAAGGATCATGGATGATGGAGAATTAGCCTCTAACCTTGCATTAAATTCCCTGAACTGAAGGGTAGGGTCACTATTATCTGATGTCTTCTATGATTAAACTCCAGATGAGACAAGTGGGACAGATAATACAGATCTACAGTTAGGAACCAATGAATCTGATCCTCCAGATACACATTCTTGTGGAATGTAGAAAATTGTGTGGGGATTCTAAAGTCATTGTTTGTTTGGTTTTCTTTTTTATCTTGTGAACAATACTCAGAGTAAGGGGGAAATATTCTTCCCCCACCATTAAATGTGTTGTGATACTCCCACTTTCTTATATTTCCCACCATAGTGGAGATATGACATAACCATCTTTCTTGTCCTCATTCCATGTTTTATATAAAGGAAGATGTTTGGAAGATTTTTGCTTTGTATTTCAATCTCCTAAAGGGACCGTGTGTGTTTTATCTGAATACTTAACTGAATATTGTCTTCCCTACTGTAGCTACAATATTTGCCAGCATACAGTTCCACATGAAATTTGTCTGCAGTCCATAGACACCTTTGCAAGAAATTCTTTACTAATTATAGAAGGCTTTTCCGGAAACTGTTGTGGTTGCTAAAAAAATGATTTTGGGAAGAGTGGCTTAAAGATTTTGTGTTTAGATTTAGTTACTAATAATGTCTAAGTTTCTATTTCAGTTGTTCTGTTGAAAACATTGTGGAGTCAGTCCCAGCTAGGGGCCTAGTTTTTGTAATACAAAATGCTATGGAGGTTGTTGTTTCCATTTTTAGAACCGCTTACAGTACTTTCTCTCATTCCTTAACTGTACTCTTCATAAATCTACATAGCTTCACCAACTAGTCAGTAGTCTCAGCATTCAGACAGTCTTATCTTTTCTCAGCATGTCCTACTATGTTATTCTAACAATATTAGTGAATCTTTACTGGCTGTTTTCATCCTCATGAAACAATCTGTGGTACTCATATCCAGGCAGCTTATGAAACAGCACTTGTATCTAGTATGATATAAACCTGGTGCCATAATAATAATAGTGGGTGGGTGGGTATGGTATGTATCAAAGGCAAAGAGACCATCAATTTAGTGAAAGTTACAAAATGGGTGTAAGAAATTTTCGGCCAAACCAGAAATATGACTCTGTGTGGTTAATCTGTGGGTGTTATTAGATTTGTACTGAGTTCACTCTTAGGTGGAATACATTTCATCTAGACTGAGTAAATGTGTTATGCAAGACAACAGAACTGGAGGGGTGAACGTATCATGTATCTTCAGAAATACAGCAGCGTGGAATAGTATCAGATAGCAAGTAAAAGCTATATAAAATTGCATCACAAGTGTACCAAGCAGACCTCAGTTTTATACAAAACTATTGTTCTAAAATGGCAGCATTTTAACTATAAGAAGAAAAAAATGACCCAGTTTCAATATTGCAGGATTGGTGAAGTCTATGTTTAATGTTGATGTGGTACTTGGAAAAACACTGTGTGTTATTCGTCTGTGGGTCAAAACTTACACTAAGTGGGAAATTACAATTGTAACTTAATATTAAGTTTTACGTGTAATTAATTTAGCAAGAGACAAACATTGGCTGGCTGACAAAAGACCTCATGTTCAAAACCTCTGCCAAATTTATCACACAAGCTTTTATCAAATAATAACAATTTACTTAATTTTTTTTAACATAAAAGTTTTACTTTGCTGTTGCACATAAATGGCCCATCCTGGTCCCAATTAAGTCAACAGAAGCTGAAGGAGACATTGTAGTGTGCAATGTTCAAGATTTTATGACTCAATAGGAAAAGAAAAGTAAGGTTTAATTAAGCTACACATAGAAACATTTTCAATAATGTAATATCACAGTTAAGGTGTTGTATAAAATGTGACTGGTTTTTGCTTTTATTCACTAGCACTGGCTCACAGAACTGGAAATCTTAGCTATGATCTTCGCAGCTGCAGTCCATGATTACGAGCATACTGGGACCACAAACAATTTCCATATTCAGACAAGGTAAGCATGCTTCATCTTATGATATCATGTCTGAATGCAGCTGTTGCAGCCCGATCTAGGAGAAAAAGGAAGGCAATTTAGCGTCAAAGATCTGATGTTCATACCCTTTGGATCACAGCTGCAAGGCTCAGTGCCACTGGGTGGGGTCAAGAAAGTACCTTAGTACATTAAAGAAGAGAGGGAAGAATTCTTGGCACTCATTCAGCAGGAAATGCTTCACCTGACCAGCAATTTCTCAAAAGTTGGCTTTGCTGTGAACATTAAAGTTCTGCTTCCTAAAATGTTTTATTTCTTTGGATGCAGGTGGTAGTCAGCTTTGCAACCCTTAGTTACCCACATCATACTTGCTCATGAGAGTAGCCTCCTTGGCTTTGACACAGTTAATGAGATTACTCCTCTGAGCAAGGAAGGACAGCATGTGAGAATAAGGATCACAGGATCTGGTTGCATATCTTTAAAGTGAAATCTTCACATTTGACCGCTCTGTGAGGGGTCATTGCAAAATTCTTGGAACACTGACTGACAAGGATGCCAGTTGTACAGAATATTTCTGAGCCTTCTCTCTTCTCATTATCCTTTGTACCCACTCCCTTTATTTCTGGCTTAGTAGCGCCTTTATAGGTTTCAGAGTAGCAGCCGTGTTAGTCTGTATTCGCAAAAAGAAAAGGAGGACTTGTGGCACCTTAGAGACTAACACATTTATTTGAGCATAAGCTTTTGTGAGCTACAGCTCACTTCATGGGATGTATTCAGTGGAAAATACAGTGGGGAGAGTTATATACACAGAGAACATGAAACAATGGGTGTTACCATACACACTTTAAGGAGAGTGATCACTTAAGGTGAGCTATTACCAGCAGGAGAGCGGAGGGGGGGGACCTTTTGTAGTGATAATCAAGGTGGGCCATTTCCAGCAGTTGACAAGAACGTCTGAGGAACGGGGGGGGGGGGGGAAGAGGGAATAAATAAGGGGAAATAGTTTTACTTTGTGTAATGACCCATCCACTCCCAGTCTCTATTCAAGCCTAAGTTAATTGTATCCAGTTTGCAAATTAATTCCAATTCAGCAGTCTCTCGTTGGAGTCTGTTTCTGAAGTTTTTTTTTTGAAGAATTGCAACTTTTAGGTCTGTAATCGAGTGACCAAAGAGATTGAAGTGTTCTCCGACTGGTTTTTGAATGTTATAATTCTTGACGTCTGATTTGTGTCCATTTATTCTTTTACGTAGAGACTGTCCAGTTTGACCAATGTACATGGCAGAGGGGCATTTCTGGCACACGATGGCATATATCACATTGGTAGATGTGCAGGTGAACAAGCCTCTGATCATGTGGCTGATGTGACTAGGCCCTATGATGGTGTCCCCTGAATAGATATGTGGACACAGTTGGCAACGGGCTTTGTTGCAAGGATAGGTTCCTGGGTTAGTGTTTTTGTTGTGTGGTGTGTGGTTGCTGGTGAGTATTTGCTTCAGGTTGGGGGGCTGTCTATAAGCAAGAACTGGCCTGTCTCCCAAGATCTGTGAGAGTAATGGGTCGTCCTTCAGGATAGGTTGTAGATCCTTGATGATGCATTGGAGAGGTCAGTCAAGAATTATAACATTATAACATTCAAAAACCAGTCGGAGAACACTTCAGTCTCTTTGGTCACTCGATTACAGACCTTAAAGTTGCAATTCTTCAACAAAAAAACTTCAGAAACAGACTCCAACGAGAGACTGCTGAATTGGAATTAATTTGCAAACTGGATACAATTAACTTAGGCTTGAATAGAGACTGGGAGTGGATGGGTCATTACACAAAGTAAAACTATTTCCCCTTATTTATTCCCCCCATCCACCCCCCACTGTTCCTCAGACATTCTTGTAAACTGCTGGAAATGGCCCACCTTGATTATCACTACAAAGGGTTTTCTTCCCCCCACCCCCCTCCCGGCCGCTCTCCTGCTGGTAATAGCTCATTTTAAGTGATCACTCTGCTTACAGTGTGTATGGTAACACCCATTGTTTCATGTTCTCTATGTATATAAATCTCCTCACTGTATTTTCCACTGAATGCATCCCGTGAAGTGAGCTGTAGCTCACGAAAGCTTATGCTCAAATAGATGTGTTAGTCTCTAAGGTGCCACAAGTACTCCTTTTCTTTTAGCTCCTTTATAGTATCCCATTTGGTCATATATTTGAAGTAGGCCTCCCAGTCCCCAGACACCCTCCTTGCCCTCCTTCATATCCCTCCTTAAATGCTGCTTCCCCTCCAGCAATGTCTCCAAACCCATCTGAACTGTTATTTGGGGTGTCATATTTGTTTGTATTAAGTTGCAAGATCCTTGGGACACGGGGACATTTTCAAAGACAGAAATGGCAGTTAGGCTTCTAGGCGGGGAGTCTGAGGTGCCTTTCTCTGCCTGTTTTGAAAGTATCCATGCTGTGTACAGTGTAGTCCAATGGAGAAAGCACTGGACTGAGAGGCCAGAAGCTCCGTGTTCTAGTGCGGGCCCTGCCATTGCCTTGCTTTGCCTCAGGTTTCCTCACTGTAAAATGGGGGTATTTACCCAGCTTTAAAAAATGTTTTGAGAGCTACATATGAAAAACACTGTAAGTGGAAATCTAATGCTATTGCACTAGAAAAAAAGGTATAAAACGTATAGCATGCCCTTTCTTCCTTAATCCCAAAGTGGAGTGGGGATGGGCCTCTCATGATATGGCATACGGAGACGTTTAATAATAATTAATAATTGACTTAAGTCTATTATTGCTGAAATGACTATATCATTTAAAAGTATGTTGGGTAGGGATTGCTTTGTTTTAACAATAGAAAAAGCTATCTTTTTCCTTCAGAGTAACAGCCGTGTTAGTCTGTATTCGCAAAAAGAAAAGGAGGACTTGTGGCACCTTAGAGACTAACCAATTTATTTGAGCATAAGCTTTCGTGAGCTACAGCTCACTTCATCGGATGCATTTCTTTAAATACTGTAGGGCAGATTCTGACCCACTGCTGCGCTGAGATTGCCCAGAGTAGGGGAACATCTGGTGGTGCTTTTCTCTATCACTGCAGTTTGGGAAAGGGGTGTGGGCAGGACTCCATATCTCAAAGATCACTTGGCCCATGGACACAGCCGGTACAAGTTAGAGCAGCCGGGCATCATTGGGACATGGTGCCCCACCCTGTAATCTGAGTTAGATTGTGGAACTGGGGATCGGTTTAGTGCAGAGCGGCTCATCAGGCACCTTTGAGCCCCCTCCTCAGCTGTACTGAAATACTGAACAATTATTTCCATCACTGTATTTTGGCAAGAAAACCACTCTTCATAAGAGAGAACAGGCGTGTTCTTCCACTTACCTGAGGTTATACTGCCTGCCAGTGGTAGGCTATAGACGGTGTAAGGACTGCATACAGGTTAATCAGCTGATGTGCTTTGGGACACATGCTTTGATAAATCTGATGATAAACAAATTCTATGTCTGCAGCTAAATTACCAGCAAAAGCCCTTTCCTCTTCAACCTAATGGTGCACTCACACAGTCTGGCTAAAGATAAGTTGTTCTAAGTTTAAACTGCTTTTCTGTTCTAGTCTTTTATATTTTGGTTTGCAAAAATGGAAAATAAATTAAGCTGTTAAACTCTGAGTTTTAAAGTTAAATACTTACTAGAATGTATTTGTTTTGTGATATTACCCAATCTTCCTTCATAATTGGATCTGAACATAAAAAAAGAGATCTATTCACCTTTCCTCCATGTTTCTATTACTTCAAAAAGGCAGAAGAAATTACGCTCACAGTCATGTCAAATCTCCGCACTGGTTAAAAACAACCATGATTAGCTATGTGGATCTAAAAAAGTGTGCTTCACAAAAATACCTGATTGGCAAATCATAGATTTTCCCATATCAGTAACAGCTTGAACATAAACACTGTCATTATTTAGGTAGGATATGCTTTGTTCACTTAATAAACAAATCCTGCTTTACTTCGGTAGTTTCCCGGGTTCCATACCGTACACGAGTGGTTAGTTTGGATTTTTTTTAATAGTACTCATTGTTTCAAGGGGTACATTTCCACCTAACTAACAGTGGAGCTAGCTGAGTAGCTAAATCATCACAGAGCACTTTAGAACAGTAGTTCACCTGTCTTCCGTTACAGTGTTATAAGTGCCATGGATGTGTAACCCATGCCTGGTTGGTGTGGCACTCTTGTGACGAAGTGGGACTGTTCTTAATGTTTCCTCTGAATACTTTGGGGTGCCTCAGTTTCCCCTATGCAGTTCTTAAGTATCTAGATGGTGCGATAAGGGTGTATGATCATTGCAGAACCCTAGAGGTCAGGTGTGTGCACGGGTCTGGACACAGAGAATGGCCAACACCCTGTTTCCTGGCAACTGATGGCCTGGGCCCTTCCCCCCTGCAAGGTGATAGCTAAAGGGTTGAAGACAAAGAGATCAGGTGACCTCCAAGCCTGGGAAAGTGACAAAGCCCAGAGGAGGAGGGGCTGGAGGGTGAGTCACTTTGGGGCTGGCTGGGGACGAGGAGTGAAGTGCAGACGTGGTTGTCCGGGTCGCTGCCCCCCAAAATGGACCCGGCTGAGGGGTCCTGTTCTCTGTACCTACAAGCTCTGTTTTAGACCACGTTCCTGTCGTCTAATAAACCTCTGTTTTACTGGCTGGCTGAGAGTCGTGTCTGACTGCGAAGTTGGGGTGCAGGACCCTCTGGCTTCTCCAGGACCCCGCCTGGGCGAATTCGCTGTGGGAAGCGCATGAAGGGGTAGAGGATGCTGAATGCTCCGAGGTCAGACCCAGGAAGGTGGAAGCTGTGTGAGTTGTGTGTCCTGGAGACAGTCTGCTCCCAGAGAGGAGACTTCCCCAGGGTCCTGCCTGGCTTCATAGGGAGCAGTTCCAGAGCATTGCCCGGGGACTCCGTGACAACTCTGTCCTCCACTCATGGCACCTAGCTCAGCTAGAGATTGATGAGTCTCTTACAGCCTTAGCAAAGAGCCATGTGGCTTTTAGCTTATGCAATAGAGGCTCATGCATTTAGCTCCAGAGATCTCAGGTTAGATCTGGTCTGCTGACAACTGGGGTCTGTCAGCATTACAGATGGGACCAATCCTAATTCCTGATTTATACACCACCAAAGTATGGATCCAAAGCTTGGGCCCTTTTCTAATTATTAGAAAGAGGTCATATTGTCAAGCACACTGTTGTGGATGAACAAATTACCACTAATGATAACTAGTGATGGCAAGGTCATAACTCTTTAAAACTAATATTTAGAGCTCTCCTTATACAAAGTAATCAAAGCAGACTTTTCTCAGAATAGAAGCTGCATATTATTTCTCAACTTTTCAGTAGCAAAGCTCCCGCTGTTGGTGAATGCATTACAATATTGTCTTCTACTGCATGTGAGTACTTGGAATAGCTTGATTTTGAGCAGTTCGACTCCTACTCCTAATGGCCTCTTGTGCACCAGCGGTGGAGTGGGGGTGGCACATGACATTGACATGAAAGGAAAGATCAGTTCTCATCCCTGGTGCCATAGCTGCCCCAAGCAGCTGGGAGGAGCAATTGCAGGAAGGCCCTATAACCCAGGACTGGAGCACGCTTAGCACAGGTGGAATCTTGAGCAAATTTAGCTGCTAAACTCTAAAAAGTCTCTACAGATCATGTATGAACTGAGATTTTCAGAGGCTAAAAACTTGGTCAAATTCAGGTTGATTTTCACAGGTCAAACCCCTTACATCAAGATTACCCCCTCTGGCACATTTCAAATCCCCACTCCATAGCATAGAGGCTCAAGAGCTTCTCTGCAAAATGGTGTTTAGAATTTTTTTCAGATGGGCAGAACATATATTTCCCCTAACTCCATTCTGAGAAATACCTGAACCATTTTTGCTGAAATTCCCCCCACCTCTTTCTAACTCCGCAGTCCAAAATAAAATCAGCCTGAAGCAGATATCTAGCATGGATTTAGCCCAAATGGTTGAAATTTGAGAAAGTTATATGCAGCTGAAAACAGGGTTTTAGAATGGGAACTGTCAGACAACCTGAAGAACAAGTCTCACTCCCTGTGCCACATATAATATCATATAAGTTGTGTTATTATAATTTTTTTTAGTCAAAGAGAGCCTAATTTTGCAGTCCTTTCTTAGGACTCAGGCAAAACTGCCTTTAAAGTCAATGAAAGTTTTCTTTGTGTAAATACTATAGGATTGGGCCCTTCTCCTGTATACCTCATGAATTAGCAGTTTTATTGCAAAATGATGTAATAGGTGCATGCATGAAAGTAGGCCCCTTTGATACCAGTGGATGTACCTGGTCCAAAGGCTTATGAGACGGGTGGAAAAAGGAGTAATGTTGTTTGAGGATATTATTATTATTTCTCTTTCAGCTTAATTTTTCACTATTGTTTTTCCTCTTAATTTCACTTTTTTCAGGATTTTCCTCACAGATTAATCTCTCGTGTATTAATTGCACACTATAAAGAGGAAACAATGATACATTCAAAATCTGGTCCCTGCCCTTTGCAGTGGCTAACATGGCAAGAGAGTTCAATTACCAGCATAGCTGCATTTTTTATTTTTTTTTATGACGAGGAATTATCTGTGAGGTTTGATTTTCAGACCTTTATCTACTAGGATGAAATAAATAGCATGTCAGACTAAATCGACAGACCCTGTTATGGCAACAGAGCCCCTTTCTCTCTATTATGCTAACATCAGTATCCTGTTGCTAATCATACCTCTTTTATACCTAGGTCAGATGTTGCAATTTTGTACAATGATCGCTCTGTTCTTGAAAATCATCATGTGAGTGCTGCTTACAGACTTATGCAAGAGGAAGAGATGAACATTCTGGCAAATTTAACCAAAGATGACTGGAGGTAAGATCTATTGGGACATTAACGATGATTCCAGTTAATAAAAAGGGTAGGGCTTCTCCTTTGCACCTCATTTTGGGTATGTCTACATGTTGAATTGGGGGTGACTTACTCATGCTAACTCTCTTTGAGCTAGTGCACTAAACATAGCATGTAATCCTGGCAGCACGGCGGGCTAGCCACCCCGAGTACGTACGCATCCAAGACCCTAAGCACGTACTCAAGGCAACTAATCCATCCCACTTTCGTGGCTACATTCTATTTAAGTTGAGAATCATACCACCAGCCTGAAGTGTAGACATGCCCTTTAAATTCTAGCTGAAACTGAAGAAGCCTTGGAAATGGAAGCATGTAAGAGCATTGGAACTTAAGTGGGCATTAAAAGAGATTATCAGAACTGTAACTGACATTTCACAATAACTCGAGCCACAATCTCAGAAATGATAATTGTCAGGACTGCCTTGAGGTCTTCCATTATTAAGGAAGTTGCTATGGTGCATGCAGAGCACACAAAATACAAGTCTTCCTGTGTTGCGGTCGGTATAGCTGTTATCATTCAAGTACCCCTAAAATATGTAACCAATAGCTGTATTGTGGCATCACTGGCAGGCAGGTGTGCTGCATCTGGAGAACATTGCTTCTGGGAATGGTGTCACTAAAGACAGAGAGCCAAATTCTGCTCACAATAATACCTGCACAATCCAATTGTCTTCAGAGGAGTTGCATGATATGAGAGTACAATTTGGCCCATCGTGTATATAAAGCTGCAGTACTGGCCCAGACATAAGCCTCGCTGTATAACACCTTCTTATTTGCATGTAATCGTTTATTTCCTCTTTGGAATCAGATCATCGTTAGGCAATTCATTTCCATGTAGCTGAATTCAGAGATGGAATATGTAAAACTGGCTTATAGACAATAAGGGTGTTAATATTTAACAATACAGGGAGTTAAAACCCATTGATTTTTAATCCATTAATTACCCTTAATTGTTGCGGCAGACCTCATACATAAAGTATTTTTTTCATCTCTACGATTGAGGTGGACTGCTACATGTTTTTGACTTTATTTTTTCTTTCAGAGCATACTTACTCTCATTCATTGTCCTTAAATTTTTTAAATGAATTTAGTTCTGGACAAAGATCAATAGCTTTGGAAACTGATTTTAAACTTGTGCTATGAGAGTATTCTCTTATCCACACTGCCTCTACCAGTATGACTTAACATTGTTCTGGAGGCTTCTACCTTCTGAGGATTGAAAGGGTAGTTCCGTCTCTGTGATCCCTCTGCTTAGACTGCCACTGAATACAAAGAAAGTGATTGTGTTCTGGGGATGTAGAAGAGCCATTAAACAACTTTCAGATGCTGATACCTTTCAGTCCCCAGCAGTTTGTGTCACTTAGAGGTGAAAGATTCTGAATCTTTATGCCACTTACATGAAGATGTGGAGTCAGTAGTTTAGTACTTTTTGTCTTTATTTTTTCCCATAGATATTTTATCCAAGCAAGATGTTTGTCACACTTATTAACATGTTATCTAAGGGCCTTAAGATATATAGGACTAGAATCTGGTCCAGCCGAGCTACAGTCATTAAAGGCCCAGGGCAAAGACACCTCTGTGCTTCTCTGATCTTGGGGTCACCAAGGACTGGGCCAGTCCCTGACATAAATCAGTGCAACTTGGACGCTGCCTGAATTTACACCCCGCTGCCCCCAGAGGCCACGCTAGCAGCCTGGGATCAACAGGACCCAGTGCATCCCAGCCACTCCTCCTTCCTCAGGTGGCTAGAGGAGGGGAGAAGAGGAGCCCCTATGACAGCAGAGGATTCCTCAGTGCTGGGAGAAGCCTCCAGTACCCAGATCTCTCAGCTCCATGCTGCTTCTCACTGGGAGACTGGAGCAGAGCAGGTCTCAGGATCGGGACTGTAATAATGTAGTTTTTGTAGCATATACATGTATTTCTAAAATGGTCTTTTCTACCAAGGCTGATCAATCTTCCTACTGACTTTCCTTCTTTTTTATGCTGGGCTGTACACAATGTGGCTCCTTTACGCTTTCACTCAGTGGTGCTCTCTGTCTCTTTCTCTTCATTTCTCTTTGCTTTAGTGGTAATTTAGTATGCTCTTTTAGAAGTTGTTCAGCTACTCTCCAATTGTGCTTGCTCTTGCTTTTGAAATTCCTTTCATTGTGACCTATTCTATATTTCCTATTTATTTTAGTGGTTTTAGTATAGATATTTGTATCAGAATTTCTTTATATGGAATGGTTACACAGTGCCCAGATTCTGCTCTCTGTTGTACTCGTCCAACCCTCGAGAAGTCAGCAAGGTTGCATGGCAGCCGTAGGGGGCATAAATTTGGCCCTTTTAATGAGACTATAATACATTTATTTAATAGAGGCAGGAAGCCCAATTATTACTTTTAGGTGGGTATCATTAATTGTGAAGGCTTCTGAAAATTCTGTTACAATATCACCGATATTCAACATGAATAAATGGATTTACTTATTTGAGCTAAAGTAGGGCATCCAATTCTCTATTTGGTCACATAAATCAGCACTTTATATTGGTGCCTCTAATAAATCTGTGCATGCCTAAATGCTGATTTGAATACCCACACAATTTATGGAACTGGTTGACCTAATTTTGAGGGTCAGGTTGGAAAATGATGATCGCCTGGTATTCATTTTGTAAGTTCAAAAATATTCTTGTTTCTCTGTTATGGTTTGCAGTGGTTCAGTAGCACAGTGGAAAATCCATTTAGCCACTTGAAAGAAGCACTTCAGTTTTTTAAATTATTAATAGAATGAACTTTTTTGATTCTCTCTTTTGAAATCCATGCCATTAAAATAGCAGCTTTGAAGCTTACAATAAAGCAAATTGGCAGTAAATTGAAATGACAATTTGTTCGACTTTTTCAGCACACATCCTGTCTGATTCATTTAAATACTGTCAGACCTGTTTTCTTCAGTTGTTCTGATTTTTTTTTTTAATGCCCATGCCTGGTTAAACCATGGCTTTGCTAATTATTTCATCAAGATAAAGGAAAGCGATTGAGATTTTTTTTTTTTTTTTGCATTACCATTTTTTCTACCTGTTAACGTCAGGGGGAATATGCTAATAAACTCTCAGCCTCAATTAAGTTTAAAACACAAGGTTTGGGTCTGAATCAGTGAAGTACTGCCAACATTGTGACAAGGGCTCTGTCGGAGGGTAATACATGTGACAGTCCCCAAGTAGTATAGTCATTCCTCACTCTTTCCCTCAACCCAAGCTCACACCCCTGCCCCAAATCCATCCTTTCCATACTCTTCTCCCTTACCTACCTCCCCTGCCCAAAAATCCATCAATCCTTTCAGCCTCATTTCAAAGAGGAAATAAACAAATACATTCAAATAAGAAGGTGTTACACAGAGAGGCTTCAGTCTGGGCCAGTACTGCAGCTTTATGTACATGGTTGACAAAATGTGCTCTCACATCATGCAACTCCTCTGAAGACAATTGGATTGTGCAGGTATTATTGTGAGCAGAATTTGGTCTCCCTTTCCACACCAGCCATTATCCTTTGATCCGCCATGCTTCCACCTCCCCAGCTGTACAGTGATACTCCTCTAAGTGGCTCCTCATTCTGTCAGCTGTTTCACACGGCAGCAGCAATGCTGGGAAATGGGTGCCCTGTGGTCTTTGCTGGCAGTAGTGGTGGTAGACATTTTGTCCTGCAACCTCTGGGTTTCGAGTAGGGTGACCACCTTTTCAAAAAGCAAACATGGGACACATGCAGGAACCCCACCCCCTCCATAGACTCACCCTTTGCCCCTCCTCTTCCCTCAACCCCACACCCTCTGGTCCTCCTCTTCTCATCTGGAAGCCAGAGCCGGGCTGTGGTAAGAACCACCCAGGGAGCCTGGCCCCTCCACCTGCCCTGCGCAGGGTGCTGGGGTGTCCGAGAACAACCTCCAGCCTGTATCCCCACCTCCTTGGATGTGCCATCCAAGGCAGGGAGAGATCTGGGGCTCCCCACAGTGGTCCAGACTCCCTGGGCAGTTCTTACCACAGCCCAGCTAAGGCTTCCAGTCTGGCCAGGGCCAAGGCCTTGCGGGGAACAGGAGGAGCAGGGGATGGGGCCTCATGGTGAGCAGGGACTCAGGGATTACGCTTAAAAGTGAGCTCAAGAATTGAAAGTTCAAAGGAAATAAAAATCTGTAGAAACAGGGGGTAGGAGTTTGTTTCAGGTTTGTGTTAGGGTTTTTTCTTTCCTATTTGCCCCCAAAACAGAAGAGTATAACTAATATAAACCCCTCAGTTTCCATGCAACTGTTTCTTACAAAAAATGGCTTGCTTCATTTGAAGGGTACAAGTTCAAAGCAATGTGCAGGAGGAACAGTTGGGATGCAGGTTAATTAGTGTCATATTAGGAGGGCAGGCACGGTTGCCATGGTTGCACATCATTAATTGAATAGCAAAGGGAGGCCTGAATCTCCACTCAGTTACACCAGTATAAATCAGTAGTAAGTCCATTGAAATTAGTGAGTGACACCGGCTTAAACGTACTGTTGTGGGAGTTCAGCCTCAAAACTTATAATAAACCATCATATCTCCTCTAAATAGAATTGCAATTAACTCATATCGTAAAAGCATAAACATAGGATTTTACACTAATGTTTAACAGGGTTTGTTCTAGAACCTCCTGAATACCACATTTTTCTCACAGGATCAGACTTTAAGGTCACAAGGGACCATCATCATCTAGTCTGACCCGCTCCACATTGCAGGACACAGAACCTCACCTACCCACTCCTGTAATAGACTCCTAACCACTGGCTGAGTTACTGAAGTCCTCAAAACATGGTTTAAAGACTTCAAGATACAGAGAATCTACCATTTACACTAGTTGAAACCTGCAAGTAACCTGTGCCCCATGCTGCAGAGGAAGGAGGAAAAAAAAACCCACCAGGGTCTCTGCCAATCTGACCTGGGAAAAATTTCTTCCCAACCACACATATGGTGACAAGTTAGACCCTGAGTATGTGGGAAAGACCCACCAGGCAAACACCTGGGAAAGAATTATCTGAAGTAACTGAGAACCCTCCCCACTCTGCTGCTGTGACAGGCTTTAGACTGCTCCCGGTCCTACACTCTCACCAGCTTTCACACAGGCAGGGATACACCCAGCTGCAGTTGCATGCAGGCTTTGGCCAGCCACTGCATGAACCAACAATAGAGCAGCTACAGCCAAGATAACCCCCAGCTTCCCAGCCTAGGACCCCAGAGCTGTACCATCCTGCCCTGCTCAAAACCCCGACCAGTACAAATTTATTACTCAGTTCTCCCTCAATGTGGAGAGGAATATGCACAGTACCGTTGTGTTAAACCAAGCTGAAATTTTCCCCAGATACTTCCATTCAAAGGCACACTGGTTTAGATTAAAACATAAAACAAGTTTATTAACTACAAAAAGATAGATTTTAAGTGATAAACAGATCAAAGCAGATTACCTCGTACATAAACAAAACTGCAAACTAAAATACTAGAAAATACTTTCTAAAATACTAGAAAGACTGGATATGAATTAGCAATTTTTAACCCTGACTGATGATACAAGCAGGCTTGCAGATTCTTAAGGCACAAGGTGCAATTGCTTTGCAACTTGAGATCCCCATCCCCGTACCAAGACCTTTTCTTTCTGAGCTTCTCCAGGTATTGAGTTGTGGAGGAGTAAAGAACAACAGATGATGTCACTCCCTGCCTTATATAGCTTTTCCATATGGCGGGAACCCTTTGTTCCAAAAAACAGTTCCCAGTCCAATTTGTGGAAAAATACAGGTACCCAAAATGGAGATCAGTGTCATGTGGTCTGGTCACACCCCCTGGTATGACCTGCTAAGTCATAGCAGCCATTATTTACAGGCTGTCTGGAGTGATCTCAGGAAGGCTCACCAGGTTGGGGATAAGCTTCTCCTAAGGCAGGGGTTCCCAAACTTGGTTTTCGGCTTGTTCCTGGCCAATGGGATCTGTGGGAAGTGGTGGCCTGGCCTGCGCTGCTTCCCGCAGCTCCCATTGGCTGGAAACGGCGAACCGCGGCCAGTGGGAGCTGTGAGCGGCCATACCTGCGGACGATCAGGTAAACAAAGCGTCTCACGGCCCGCCAGGGGCTTACCCTGAACAAGCCATGAACCAAGTTTGGGAAGCCCTGTCCTAAGGCCTGTTGTTTTTCCTAATGGCCCATTACTCTGAACAGGCCCTTCCCATCAGCTGTCTAGGCTGAAAGCATTTATGCTAGTTTGTAATGGTCCATAGTGTTAAGCTGGTGGGGATTTAGACACGGATGCTGTTCTGACCAAACTTGAAAAAGGGGAAAAGAATAGAGGAATTTTAAATGGCCTGAATTCCTAACATTTCAGATTGACACTTCTTAGTCTCCTAAATGGCTCCTGAACCTTCTAGCTAATATTAGTATTGTATCTGCTGTACGCTAAATTGGAAGCTTATATCCTCCTGTTATTGTAGTGGACCCAACGGTCTAAATGGTACCCTCTCTTTCTGAATGTGATGATCCTAGTACTGGGGTGAAATAAGCAGAAGAGTTATAGCCAGGGTTGCACTTAATTATAGTTTATGCACTAGAAAAGAGGAATCACAAAACAGCATGACTCTGAAATAATAATTGCAGAGTTGATTTTGTGAAGTATGCTGTTTCCACAGAATCCCCTTAGGGACATAAGGTTCCAGTTGTTAATCATGTCTTGAAGTGCTTTTTTTAATTAAAAAAAGTGTTCATTTTTGTTTAGAAAGATATGAATTAACCAGTGCCTCCCAAGCAAATGTTCCATAAACAGAATAAATTACTTGTAATTAGTAACTTTGCTTTTGATTGCTTTCAGGGAACTTCGTAGCCTGGTCATTGAGATGGTCTTGTCAACAGATATGTCAGGACATTTCCAGCAAATTAAAACAATGCGCCATACTCTGCAGCAGACAGAGGGGTAGGTTATTTTCCATTCTGTTCTTTAGAAGTTTCAAATGAGTTCATGCACAAGAAAAGACTTTAAACAGTTGCTGCTGTTCTGAGATAATTGGAGCATGTCCTTGATTTGACAGGATAGACAAAGCCAAAGCCATGTCTTTGATTCTACATGCAGCAGACATAAGCCACCCAGCAAAATCTTGGGAACTGCACTACCGGTGGACAACGGCACTGATGGAAGAGTTTTTTCGACAGGTGCCATTTTCAAAATCTGTTAACATAGTTAAAGTGTTAGTTACACTGTTAGATATTTTATAATTCTACCTGCAAGAATACTGTCAGTTATAATTTAGTAAAGTGATCAGAATCGTGCTTGCCTTACTTTCAGAAGTAGTCCCACTGACTTCAGTACAACTACTCATGTGAGTAAGATGAATAGGATGTTGGTTAATATCTATTTCAGCTGATGGCAGGCTCCAAAGCATTAGCTTTTTTTCTTCTCTAACAGTATTATAATTTGTCAAGCTGATTTCATTCTTTAGACAGAGATCTGTATACACTCTGAACTAAAAAGAGGTATTGGGTAGGAGGGAGTACCTGGATATGTGAAGGATGTGTGTTCAGCAAAGAAGGCAGATGAATGTTGTATCCATATCATATTACATAAGTCTTCCCTTTTCCCCTTATTGTGAGCTAGTGCTGTGCATATCCCACATCAGTATGATGGAGTTTTCCTTTCATGCTCTTTGTGGGCCTGATCTGCAGACCACTCAAGTCAATGGCAATCTTTCTATTGCCAATGTGGCCATAATTTTGGAATCAAACACAGTGACGCAGCAATGTGGCAGTATTTTTTGTGGTGGTGAAACAGTCGTAGAAAAGACAAAATGCACTTTTTAAAAAATGTGTGGTGTTGTACTATTACCAGCTTCTGATTCAATAGCAACATGTGTTTGTTTCACAGAGTGGATCATTTTTTCTAGTAACAAACAATGAGTTTATCTTGAATCACTGAGCAAGTGCAATTAATGTTAATTTTAAGTAAAGAAGAAGGGCTTTGACAATGTTTACATTGGTTCCACCTTTCTATCACTCCAAACACTCCGTTGCTTGTAAACGCAGAGCAAATTCTACTGTCTAGCAATACCACTGAGCAAACAGTGTGTAGTTGGGGGAGAGGGGAAGCAAACATTTCAAGTGGTGAAATGAAAAAAACAGGACATTTCAGGTGTCTTGCACGAATTATCTGGGATCCTACGACATCGTGAAAAACTGGGTTTGTCTCAATAAAAAAAACCCCTGTGATCACTTTACCAATTAACTATGAGTGAGTGATTTTTGCTTTCTGTTGTGTTCAGGATTTAGAAATTGCTTGAAATAAGAGAAAAATAGATTCTAAACTCCTCCTTTTTATCTTTCTCAGTATTGAGGATCATTCTGATATGGGCCATTAAAATGATAACAAAGAAGCAATAGTGGAATGGGAAAAATAGGTAACTTAATAGTGGAGACATTTTAGAAAACTGCATTTTAGTCTATGCAACTAAGCTATGCCCTCAGTAAGAAAGCACTGTGGGAGAAATAGCACTAAGAAGAATATTCTAGGCACCTCTTAGGAAGCGATTAACATTAACATTGAAATTAACTTGCTTTTAAATAGGTAGCTTTTAGTGGGGTGGGAATAAGATGGTCACCAAAGGGGTAAGAGGCATTTCCCTACTGTTCTGTACAGCATTTGAATAGTTCATCTTAGACCACCATAATTATTTTAAATTAAAATATATCCTTACAGAAGGAAAAGAAAGTTGAGCATATAGATACTTCAGTGTCTTCGTGACTCAGCAAAGTAACTAAAGCAACTACCTCCCTGTATTTGGGATATAGCGCCCATCCCTGTGAATCTGGGCCCTGCACAAAGTTTTAAAACAACAATGATTAAATTAAAATTGGACCTGGTGGCCCAGAGAGAAGCAGCAATGTTGTCACAAAAAGAGCCATCAAAAAAACTGATCAAAGCCTAATTTAGATATATCATAGCACCTCCAGTGATTACATCTTTGACAAAGCAGATAGGGAATGATAGATATTGGCTGCCTGGCCCATCTAGATTGTCCTTTTGCTATGTTATATTCTGTGGCTTTCAAACAGGAGTAGTCATACATTAAACTGGAAGGGGTCAGAGCAATGAATGAGTCAGTAATTTATTCCATCTGCTCTTGAGAGTTCTCACTCAATTCCTAAAGATGCTTACTATTGATTTTGAACAGTAAACTTCAGGACCTTACTGATTCTTTGATTTGCCTTTGGAGAGAGTGGAGAACTGGTGCCTTAATCTAAATGATGAACAAACCCAGTTTTGTGGAAATGTTGAGCAGCAGCAGATCATTAATTAAGTTCAACATCAGGACTTGAAGTCTGGAGTTACCAGTTGGTGCCTCTTACTGTAAATGGAAATGATGATGATATAGAATGCTGGAGGAAAAGGGGAGGACCATCAACCCAGATGAATATTACTCAGAAGAAGGTCAGAAATGAACAACTGTAGAAGCATTTTAGACATAGGGAGGCAGGATACATAGACTCCATGGAACAGTGAGGCAATATGTTCAGGCCAGGGCTGTAGCATTAACAATATATAGTTCTGTACTGCCTTGATCATTGAGTGCACAGGATCGGTTAATGCTTTAATTACTACTTTATCCTTTCACTGTAAAATGGTACTGGATTATAAATAAACTGCTCAAAGACTTGAGTTTTTTAAAAACAATTTTTTGTCACTGAAGTACACTTACGCATTTCATAATTATAAAAATATGAAACTCTCTCATAGCACCTTCATTTCAAATGTACACAGCAGAAACTGGGATAATGTGCACTCAGTCGAGACAGAATATAGGCTGCACATATCTCTAATGTGAACAGTTCTGGTTAATGTTAGTGATAGGTGAACCTCCAAAGCTTCTAAAATATGTTGCAGACAAACACGATCGGGGAGAGGGGGTGAGGGAGGAAAGGGGAGGAATAGGGGGAGTGTCTAGTCTTGCAGTCTGTACACAGCCAAACCTCCCACCCATTGATTTCAGTGTCTATATAAGAACTGCAGGATCAGGTTATAACATTTAACTGAACTCAGGGCCCATGGAAAGTAGAAAATGTGCTGGAATTTCATTTCCTTTTTCCATCCAGATTGGGAATTAGATGATAATAGCTATTCCACACTAGTTTGGTTTGTCTGTTTCTGATCTCAGCCAAAGCCAGAAGGTGCAAAGCCATAAAAAAATAAAACTTAAACTTACAATTTCTGAACAAGATTCAGTTTGAGTTTCATGTGAAGGCTTAATACTTTGTTTTAACTCAAACTGGTTTGATAAATAAAATAGATGTAATAAAATCAGTACCTGAAATGAACCATGAAGAGCTTGAGCTCTGACATCCAGCTTGATGTCTGTTAACCAACCTGTCTTATAAAATATGTGATGATGATGATGATGATGATACATTAGGATTGACAAGGAATTGGAAACTTATTTATTGTATGTTTGTTGTATTCTATACTACATTGGTCAGTGAAAAAGGTTAATTTCCAAATAGTAAAACACTGTTCATGTTAGAAGACCCAAATATGATAAAGACATTTCAAGACTTCAGAACTTAAATTTTTTTAAAATGTCATTTGCCTGCTTACACAGCAACACAGACAAAAGCAGCAGAAACTGAGAGTTTCTGAGAACATAGGAGTTTTTAATATGCAGTTTTAAAAGTGGGCACAGATGGAAAATGGACATTATCTTAGAAAACTTTATTCAACTGGCACTAAGATTTAAAATATGTATCAGTAATAATTTCAAGGGCAAAGCCTTAGAACATTATCATAAAAAAGTTGTTTTCACTTAAAAAAAAAAAACACACACAAACCACACCCATCCATCTCAAATGCACAATGATAAAGAAACATACAGCTGAGGTCACTCAACCAAGCACCCAGCCCTGACAGCATTCTGCTCTAGGCTGGAGTTTATTTTAAAACAAACAAATAAAATTTCAACTTTCATATAATAATTTTTAAGTCGTTTAATTGATTTTCTTCAAACTTAGCTTGCTTAACTTTTATATCTCATGAGAATTAAAGATCATGTCAAATCTTAAGGCTGGGTCCTATACCACAATTTACAATATATACATTATATAAGAAATTACAGTTTTCATTATATATTGGATGAATTGTCAAAAATACATGATGCAGTAAAGAAGTATTTTAAGGCATAAGCTCAAGAGAGTTAAGTTTTTAGATTTTTAGTTCTGTGATTTTAACTCTTGCATGAATTTCCTGACTTTTGAGTTCTCAGATGTTAGGTAACTTTATCCCTGGCAAAAATCCCAATGTTAATGTAAGTAGTAACATGCTCTTGATGTTAGAAAATCAGGCCACAGTTCCAATGGGGAGTTCTGGAGGCATCTTAAGCTGTGAAAGCAAAGCCAGATTGGTTAGCTCAATTTTTTTTTTATAAAACCTTTAGTGTAGTAGAAGCCGATGGAACCAAATCCTCAGCTAGTTGAAATCAGTGGAGCTCCTTCATTTATATTCATGTGGTTCACTTCTGGGGACCATTAGCTCCTTTTGGTAATACTACCTGCTCCTGCTCTCTTCTGTTCCCTTTAGTCAAATTATGGGTACCTTCTATGTGGGCAGGGTGAGGGAAGGAGTCTCTGGGCAGTCTACCACTTTCAGGCATAAAGCACAAGGTCAGCTGTAATTTGGTCCTCTGTCTCTTTTCTTTCTCTCTGGGCTCATTCTATATGTATGGCCACCAATAGTTTTTTTTTATATTTTCTCTCTGCTCTCTTCCTCCGGCTCTAGATATCTATCCACAGCTTCACTTAGGTTATGCAATTCAATTGGACTTTAAGGGAAGAAGTGGTGAAACCCTCCATTTCTATTTGAAGCACATTCTTCTATCTCTGAGGCTGTTTTTAAGCAGTCGTACTGAAGTTTTTTTTTTGTGTGCTTTTCTGACATCCGTTCCTTATTATCATTCGGTGCGAAATGATAAGAATATCAAAGGTCTATATTTTAAATGCACCTGCAAATCGACTTAATTCTACAATTACAAATTTATCAATGAATGTCCAGGATATCAATGAGGCCCCAGCATTCTAAAATGCAGTTGGGAAAATATCAGAATGGTCGGCTTCTCCTTCTTTCCCACACCCCGTCTCTTTAAGAGAAGTTAAGTTGAATGATCTCTGGGTGCTCCAAGTCCAAGCTGTGAGGCTGCAGAAGGTCTCCTTATAAAACATGCTTTTTATTTTCCTTCCCTGACAAATACTAAATCACAGTGGCAGATGCTTTGGTCTTGACAAGATCTTTGCTTTCAACATATTCTTTTCAATACAAATGGTTAAAATTAAGTTATAAGGTTGACTTTTCCTTTTCTTCTCTCTTTTTCATTTAAAAAACAATATTAGATTTATTTTACCCACAGCTTGTTTTAGTTTAGGAAAAGAAGTGAATTTTAGAAGTAGTTGGTCAGAGAGCAGTGTTCAGGCTCTCTCCTTTGTATATGTATTCTTATAATATGAAACATTGCTTTTTCCAGGGAGACAAGGAGGCTGCTCTAGGGCTACCATTTTCCCCACTTTGTGACCGCAAATCTACCATGGTGGCTCAGTCCCAAATAGGTAATGATCAGTGCTGTTTTCTCTTTCTCATAAATGTGGGCGCATGCAGTGTTGTCACCCCCCATTCACACACTGCGCACGATGTTTTTAAAAAAGCTGTAGATACTACTATAAACAACGTGTTTCTTTCTCCACATTTACTCACAGAAATCAGAGCATATTACACCCGTGACATGCTGTTGTCCAAAGGGACATTAAGCTCTTTCAGCATGGCATATGAAGCATATGGGACAGTATGTTTAGTGGTTAGATCAGGGTACTGGAAATCTGAACTCTTGGGGTCCAGCTGTTACTATCGGCATTTTAGAATTTGGTAAAGCAAAGCATGGAGAAGTTGTCACCTACTCAAAGTCACATAGGTCTTACTGCAGTGCAGACATACTCTGTGGCTGGCATGGGTCAGCTGACTTGGGCTTGCAGGGCTATAAAATTGCAGTATAGACATTCAGGCTCAGGCCAGGCTCTGAGACCATCCCTATCGCAGCACAGATAAACCCATAGAGTCAAGCTGGCTGGATACAAGTAACTCACTGTTTTCTAAAGGCCCTTCAAACAAGCTCCTGGCATCTATCTCCAGCACTGCTGGTGACTTACTGTGTGACCTTAGGCAAGTGATTTCCTATCTCACTTAATCCAGCTGAAAAATGGGTATAATATTATTTACATTCCCCCATTCAACACCGGCCTGGTGCTCCTGTCAGGGAGCGGGGTCAAGGACCTGGCACTTGCCTGCTCCGCCCGCCCAGCATTCCAGCCAGGGAGCGGGCAAGCCCCGGCTCCCCGACACCATTCCCCGGCTGGAATGCCCGGTGGGTGGAGTGGGGCAAGCCCCCACGCCCCAACCCTGCTACGCCCCTGCCTCAACCAAGCTTCACAATCATCATTGGTGAGTGCAGTATTAAATTGTTTGCTTAAAATTATTTAAAACTTATACTGTCTATGTATATAAAGTCTTCTGTCTGGCGAAAAAAATTTCCCTGGAACCTAACCTCCCCTATTTACATTAATTCTTATGGGGAAATTGGAGTCACTTAATATCATTTTGTTTAAAGTTGCATTTTTCAAGAACATAATTACGACATTAAGTGAGGAGTTACTGTAGGTGTTTGGCTGGTTAGGACCTATTGTGATTAGATAATAATCATTTGTATTTCAGTACCACTTAAGGACCCCAGTCAAAGATCATGGTCTCATTGTATAAACACCTAAAGAAAGGATAGTATCTTCTCTGAAGAGCTTACATTCGAAGTAAAGAGCCTTAATGTGTAGCCTTGGGATAGTGAATTAGGGCCTGATTTTTCAAAGATGAAATGCAGGCCCTTGGCTTCCCCCATCATCTGTACAATAGGGATAAAAATAATTACTTTAAGTTTTATGGGGCCAATAACCATATGAACTCTAAAAGTTTGCTGAGGAAAGCTTACCTAGAAAAATGCCTTTCACAGATGTCAACATGTCCCCAAAATAATCCTGGGACCGGGAGATCCTGTATGTTAAGATGTCATATCCTTGAACTGAACAGTATCCTCCAGTATTATCTTGTAATTTAATACATCTCCCATTCCATTGCTAGCCAGACTCAAGTGGCAACGTACTTGAGCTTATGCCTGTTGCTCACCTTTGTGCTATGGCACATTAGTTAGAGTGTGAAGAGAGCCTGAAATCCGTAGCTATCTCATGTTCTACCTACATTTTTTCTGTTAAGTGCTCAGCAGAGGATAATGCCTCATTCTCTCTAGCTATGTCATTCTCTATCTTGATGAGCACTTTCAAATGTAAAATACATTGTTCAGCGCTGACATCTCAGAGCTGTGGGATGGATGCTGTCTCCCAGGGATATTACTTGTTCTCGTCACTGATTTGACAGAACACTCCTACACACTTTGAAATAACACTTTACTTCCACAGAATAATAAACAGCAATTTGGAATATTGACTCATTAGCGTGAGGCTCTGAATGGAAACACTGACTTCTTGCCCATTGGCTCTGTCATGGCTTCCCTTTTATTCAGTAATTAATCCCGGTCTCCAATGAAAAACTTATTGTGAAATGCACTTGGTTCACTGGAGGCAGGAGTGAAAAGCTGCAAATATTAGCACTTGGTTACTCCTGTACCTCTCCAGGTGGTTTTTTTGTTTTCCTCAGCAGACTAATAACTATGGAAATTACACTGAGAGAGAAAAAATATCCCAAGTATATTGAATCTGGATTGCATTTGTCTTCAGAATATTATCCTGATATTAAAACCTAGAAGTCCAATTTTTTCCGACTTGATCAGACATTATGGATATCATTGGGTGACATTTCTCTTTAGAGTTTTGCTAATCTGTGGTTTCTGAAGTTGGAGCCAGTTTGTGAATAAAGACAGAGACTAGTCATTGACTTTGAGACCCAGAAAAATGTACAACCTGAATTCATCTCTTTCTGCTTTTCAGGTTTCATCGATTTCATAGTAGAGCCCACGTTTTCTCTTCTAACGGACTCAATGGAGAAAATTATTATTCCTCTTATAGAGGAAGCTTCAAAGTCTGAAAGTTCTGCCTTTGGGACACCCAGGTTTGAACATTTTCTCCTTTTACTTTGTGATTCTTTTAACTAACATCATTAGCAACAGCAGCATATTTTCTAATCTGTTCATAGTTGCAGAAGTCTGATGTAAATAGTTATACTGTGTTACCACCTAGTGGCAATATCTTGTAATTGCAGCTGTCTACTATGTTCCTGTACTGGCCAAGGACACTGTCTGCTTGGAAGGGCAAAAAACACAATAAAGAACAAAGTACTCATCTGTAAGGACATGAAGTTGAATTTTCTTCAGGACATACAAAAATAAAATGTTTGCTGATTCTCTTCCATCATAAAAGATACTAGCCATTTCTTCTTAAAGCAAAACCCAGGAAGTGTCTATTATCACATTTTCTTTTTAATCTGTGGATTTAACCCTTCACTGTAGTATACTACTATAAAAACACTGCAGTGCAATAATTCCTTAGTATATTGGTTAGATTTGTGTCAGAATGATGTGGCTGTAACTTTGCTTTGCTAGAATTAACTTATTCTTCGTGCATTTCTGTTGCGGGCTGTGTTCCCAACCACTTTGGGCAACTGTGCTGGACTAAAATATCAGTGGTGCCACATACTATTTAACTGCTCACTTTTATTCCGATTGGAGTTCAGGCAGCTTCAACCCCCAGTTTCACATTAGTGTGCATAACTGAATGAGAGGTGAGCAGAAGCATTCTACTGGGGTCTTGCACAGAGGTTCATCTTTAGGTACCTGATCCTGCAGGCCTTGTCTGTACAAAACTCCCACTGGCTGCAAAGGGAGATTTGTTTAAATAAGGGATGCAGAAGTAGGCCCTATAGAAGGAATGGGGAGCCGAGAATATTATACACAGAAGTCTGTACCAGCATTGATGCACATATACCAGTAGCTGGAAACCGCTAATGTATGTGTAACCCACACACCTACTGGCTGTGTTATTCTGTCCCACCTAGTGGCACTGAGACCGCTTAAAGAGAGAGATAAAATGAGACTGCTCTACAGCCTTAGCTAGCAGGCACTGGCTTTTAGCTCATGCGGTAGAGGCTCATGCACTAAGCTCCAGAGGTCCCAGGTTCAATTCTGCCCGCCGACACTGGGGTCTGTCAGCATTACATATGGAGTAAATTTTAAGTTGTTGACTGAATAAAACATTAGAAATACACCATGCCGTTTCCTTTGAACACCTCTGGGGCACAGGGAAGTTCTAATTTGCAGTTCCTTACACTGTACTTATACCTTCAATGAAATGTTACTTGTAACTTTGCTGGGAAAATTGGAGCCCATTTATGTGCATACAAACATTAACTCTTTTGGGCTAAATCTTGGAGATCATATCAGGCAAACAGTATTATGTGGAAAACAAAAACTGGTATGACATGACTTGGGGCCTGGCCACAAAATAGGCCCCACCTTTTGGTGTTAAGAGAATTCATTTTGGATATATCCATTTCTCACATGTACACACACACATTCTCTGACCTGATGCACTACCTGTTGCTTGGTGGATGATGCCAAATTTTGTTATTAATATTTCAACACATGTCTTAACACTTAGTCCTGCTTTACTAAGTGTGTTTTGAAGCAGTGGGGTTGAAGGTAATTGAACCAAATCCTGCCTTTAGATAACATGCACAGAGCTCCTGCGGTTTGCTCCCAATTGGAGGCAATCACATGCATCTAAAAGCAGAATTTGCTCTGTCATGTATTGCTTTTCCGGCATGGATCAGCAGCAGATGTCTCTCCACAACAGCCCAGCGCATTCCAAAGGGTTGCAGAGAAAGGTGCTACCAAACTTGGTCTGTTAAAATTCTTCCAAGTAATTAGCCAGGAGGTTGGAGCACTGCCCCATTTTCATAGTAATTTCCTAGAAATGTGGCATGAAGAATTGTTCACAGGAACCAATTTCATTTCATAAGGAAATATGTCTTATACTTTCCTTGACTGAGACCAGTTTTCTAGTTAGTGTTTTATATATAGATCCTAAAGAATAATCAACGTGAATGAACTGTTTTTATGTAATGGAGACCCTCAACTCTTTTCATAATGTAGAGTTTTCTTGTTTCTCTAGCCAGCATAGCTTGGGAGCACTAAGCAATGCTGATGCACAAAGAAGACCCAGTGTTAAAAGTACTACAAGTGATGGAGGGACTTGCACAGACAATTCTTTAGCAACTGTAGACCTATCCAGCTTTAAGGACAACTTGGTGCAGATCATTCAAGAAAATAAAGAAAGATGGAAAGAGTTAGCTGTGCAAGGTATGATAAACCCATTGGGAATGTCCTCTAAGTTATTCCCAAAACCCTCGTTTACCTACAGCACATGTTCATTTTATCCTTCAAATTCCCTCTTGATCTATAAAAATGCATCTAGCTGTCGTACGTTCATATTCCTTATTTATAATGTTTGCAGTGGTGGCTTCACTTTTTAGCTTATTACATATGTTTGCAATTCTTTATGTGCAATACTAGTCCTGTTTATGCTTATGTTTTGTCCTGTGAAACACAAATAGATTTGTGTGAACAGGGGAGGAGAAGAAATGCCAGACTCTCCATATTAAAGCACTGTGCTTCTCAACAGCCACTTCTTCAGAAAGTGCCATTTAGAAAAGGGGGAAAGGGGGACGGGGATTATGCGATACCCTACATTCAATTATAACCTTCAGACTGCTGTCCACTTTGAATACATACTGTATTAGCCAAAATCATAGGTTAAAAGTATTCTATGCCTGCCATGGCAAGATTAAATATGAATTGGGAAGATTTTTATAAGCTGCAGTGTAGGAAATGTGCTGCATACCTTGGTACACCATTGTCCAATTTTTTTATTGCAAATTGTTACAACAATGCGATTATAGTCAACAGGGCCAAAATGTTAATGGAGGCTTTGTGCTCAAAGTAATGGAGGAGCAGGCTATAAATCTTAAAAAACTTAGAAGTTAAGATGCAGGATTTAAAATGGCTTTGTTCGCTGTGGGAAGCAAAATGTAGTATTTCAGTCTACTTGGGATACCATTCTAACAGTCATTTAAGTGGATCTATGGATCTAAACATCTGGGCAGTCACATTATGCACCAGACCCCAACAAGGCTGAAAAAAGACCCCTTAACTGCCTACTGAAAGAGTAAAAAAATAACTCACTCAATTGTCAGGTTAGCCAGTGGTTCTTCAGTTTTGGTTAGTTGTCTTCTCTGGAATAAGTGCTGTTGTGACAGATGAGCTCAAGGTGCAATTTGAATCAGACATAATGTACTTGGCCTATAGTACCTTCCTAGTACAGCTTGTCACTACAATAAGCAATGGCTCCTTAGAGCCACTCCACTGCAAGGTTCATTCTGATCATAGAAAAAAGGCTCATTCATTATAAACCACTGGAGTAACAGTTCATTAAAAATAGCTAGATATGCAGAAGTCATATGTAAAAGCTAAACAAATTAATTAATAGATTTGGCTTCTTTCAGTTGAACTGTATGCAGAATCCTCATTATGCTGTGTTTGGGGTCATCGTTTCGCTATTCAGTTTCATGCTGAGGTGGTTATGGTTGTTGTCTGTTTGATAATCTGATGTTTAATATATAGCATGTTTAATATATAGCAGTCTCCCCAGTTGATAAGGTATTGTGCCCTGTTTTGTGCAATCTTTCATCCTGTCTGAGTGTTGGAAGTTTGGTTTTTTGCTTACTTGTTTTGCTAAGCATATTTGGATTTAGATTGCATTATAGAGCTATTAAATCAGCTATTATGTTTGAGTGTTGTAGTCATTGTCTCTGCTTACCTTTTTAAAAATAAAATTAAGAAAGAATATTACAAACTGTGAATGAATGAGTTGTACTCAGTAAACATTGTATATGGACTTAGATTTGACATATTTTGGAGTACACCTATTACTGTTTCTGGCTGGAATTCCTCTGTGCTGAGTGACAGCTTTAGGCCTTTTTAAGGCCTGAACCATTTAAGTAGTTTAAGTGGGAATTTAGTGGTCTATATATCTTATGCTGGCCCTCTGTACAGGGGTGTAGTTCACTATCAGCAGGTAAATATTAAAGGTGCCCTATATAGGAAGAATGACTTATTGGAACAGTAATTGTGCCACAATACTGAAGTCATAAAAGCCTTTAGTATTTGTAACCAAGCCTCTGAATACTCTTTTTGTGGCTTCTACCTCTGTTTGAACAATTACATGCTTACATTTCACTACTTCTTTGGATGGGCTGAAATCGAAACCTCTCAGCTGAACACGATCTGTGCTATCATGCACTTTAATCCTTCTGAACACAAATTGACAGTTTAGCATGCATGATCCTTAAGCCAAGCTTACAGGGAATTTAAGTAAACTGAAATGGCTCATGATATTTACTACTACTATTAATAAACACCCCGCAGATGTCATCTCAATAGAGTGCTTAGTCTATTGAAATGTGTACTGGGGATTCACTGTAGCATTTGTAGGAAACATATGGGTCCACTGAGTCTCATGTTGTGTATTGGTAGGCATAAAATGGATACGTTAGATGGTTGAATATCATATATTTGATTCCATTATGAGGATTGGTATACAACCTATAGTATCCATCTGCATCTTGGAATGGGCAAGAGTATCTGGGTTAGATAACCTTAGAGTTCTATACAGAGAGAGGCAAGGGTTATCCAGCAAACTGCAAAACAGCTGAAACCTGTTAGTCTCCCAGGATGCCAGCCTGGAGCCATATAAAAAGGAAGTGCAAGCTAGCAGCAGGGAATGGTAAATGAGCATGTAATGGCTTTATTGGAGAAGTTTGGCTTCTCACAGAGGCAGTGCTAATATCTTCAGCATAAATCTCTGTTTCTTTTGGAGCAATTTTGTTTGCAGCCAGTTTAAAGGTCCTATTTTCTTTCTCTTCAGAAGAGAGAAAAGGTGTTTAAAGACCGTTGACCAGATTTTGCTTTATAGTCCAAACCCTTTGCACTGCTCAGGGTTATCTTCACAGCCGTAAGGGTTGGGGACTTAATGTTTTTTAAATGGAAGCTTAGATTCTGGTACACAAGTTAAAGTTACTGCAACGGGGTTACCACTTACCGCTAGTGTTTCTCTTTGCATTTAGGTTTGGGAATGTAGCATCATAGATGCATCCCCCTTGCTGCTCATTGCTCGCTCTGTGATGATCTTTCTTCTGGTAACTTGGCCCTCTGGCCCGGTCACTGTTTAGTCCAGCCCCTCTGGGATTATGAAGTCCAACAGGACCACTGTCCAGATGCCTTCTCTGGACAGTGTTCGGCCCCTCCTTGGGCTATTCCAAGACAATATCCCAGGACTTATTCTTCCCCTGGACTTCCTCCTTGTTTCTGGAGGCTTCCCTGTAACCTTCCCTGTGGCCCCATTCTGCTTTCAGCCTCCTGGTTTTGTAGTGCCTTCCCAACCCTTTCCCAGGTGGGCTTCATTATCAGTTAACCCTGGCCCTCCTTCTCTCCGGTGATGCCAGGTTGACCTAACTGGCCTCTCAAACCCTCATTTATCCTACCACGGCTGGTGTGGGGTGCACACCCCATCACAGGCACCAAAGAAAAGAGCCAAGCCAATTTACATGGTGCTCTTGAGCTTCCAAAACTAGACTCAAAAATCTTGCAAGAACTAGCTTTCTTGTGAGACTTCTGCTTTACACAGGTTATTATATTGCTTTCATCACTGTAGTATCTAAGCACCTTCCAGTAGGGCATTAAGAGATGTAACCAACATCTGCCACATGTCCTTCATTCTTCCAGTACTTTCTGCTTCTGGTGGGGCTGCAAATGTCAGAAGAATTGATAGTATCATAAAATAGTGTTTTGATGCTACTCATTTAGGCTCCAGTGCAGCCCCACTGGAGTGAATGTAAGTTTGTCTGTTGACTTCAGTGCGAGTTGGGTTGGGCCCATTGTACTTGCCTGAAACCCAGAAGGACAGTTGTATGGGGAAAAAAGGGGAAAAAAAAGTTAACTAAATTCCTTTCGGACCCCACACAAGTTTGACTTGAGCTTTAGGTGACTCTTCAGAAGTGTCTTATTTTACCTCAACCTGAATTCACCTCAACCTGGTTAGAGGTCTACCTGCATTCTTCAAACTTCTGCTGTTTGTGACGTGATCTATGGCACTTTTAGCTCTGCTGCTGCTGTCTCTTTCTCTATTGCTTCTTGTAAAGTTCTGAGGTTGCTCTGGGTTTACTACTGAAGTTGAGTCTTATCCATATATTAACTTTAGCATGTAGTGAGGAAGGAAATACTGGCAGTAAATCACTAGCAGGCAACAGGGGTGTTCCATTACCACTGTCCTTCTCAGCTGGATAATTTATTAGAAACCATAAAGAGCTGGATGTATTATTAAGAAGGCTATCTCTATTATCATGGAAGTTCTGTGCTAGCTGCCATTCCTGCCATTAGCAGGGATCGCCGTACGTGCTTCCCAAGCTGACTGTGACAGTAGCACTTCTGCTGCTAAAAAGGGCCATCTGCACTCCTGCCTGTAGACTTTGCACACACAGGACACTGCATTCCACACTGCCAACTCAGTTCCATGGGCTTGGAAGGAATGGCCTCTCTCGAAAAAACAACAACAACCAGGTACAAATTAAATTAAACTTTAAAAAAGGAAGGAAATTAAAAATTCCTGAGTAGGAGTTGAACTCACTGCCTCTTGCCCCCTACCAGGTTGATACATTATCTTGAAAGCTATAGCACTGGCTGGGATGCAACTCTGCCCAGGTCTTGGGGCTGATAGTGTCTGTTGCATACCTGGGCTAGGCAGAACAGAGCAGGGGATCTAGGCCCAGCTGGTGGTTGGTGTTGTCATGGGCAGCTTGCATGAAGATCTATCAGTAGTCAGGGCTGCTTGCACTGCCCCATTGTGAAGAGATAGTTACTAACTCTCTGGAATATTGATTCAGAGTAAACATCTTGTGCAGGAGCAAAGTGCTTTATCTGGCAAAGAACCCCTGTTGGTAAGGAAAGTGTTTACACACAACCTACTTAGACAGCTGTTCAAGAGCTTCCTTGACAGAAGGCCCACTAAATGAATGACTCTATTTTGCTAAAAAAAGGCCATGTCTTGTATAATTGATGGCATAGGAGCTCAGTGCTCTATAGCCTAAGGGTCTTCAGCCTTTCACCACTGGAGGATTAGTGGAATGTTTGAGGCCTTTAAGGAGATGCAGTTAACAGTGGATTATCATAATATCAAACATCTGGGTTTCTAATTAGAAAGCCTTGATGTTTAATTAATATTCCAAACCCCTAATAACTATATAATC